TGCCTTTTGCAATTGACTAATAGCGAATTTGTCAATGCCGATGGTGTTCAAGTGGTGCTCCAGTTGTTTGGGATTGCACCCAAGGCGCCTATTACTATTGGTACTTCCTTTGCTTGCTTTTGCCACAGTCTTTCTATTTCTATTTGTAGGTCTTTATTATTATTAATCATAATCATAATCATCATCATATGGCACATTCACATTGCATTTCAGTAAAAAGAAACACAGGTAAAATACAAAACACAGGATATAAATTCTGAAGTCTTAACAGGAAGATTGCAAACATATACAGGAAATCCTCGACTTAATTGAGCCCAAAATTTCTGTCCCTAAGTGAGACATCGGTTAAGCAAGTTTTGCCCCATTTTACAACTTTTCTCGCCGCAGTTATTGCGTGAAATCCCTGCAGTTGTTAAGTCGGCCACACAGTTGTTTAAGTCAATCTGGTTTCCCCGCTGATTTTGCTGATCAGAATGTCGCAGAAGGGGAATCACATGATTTCGGGGACACTGGAACCGTCATAAATGTGAGTCAGCTGCCAAGTATCCGAGTGTAAGTCACGTGACCATGGGGATGCTGCAACGTTCATAAGTGTGAAAAAAAAACGGTCCTAACTCACTTTTTTCAGAGCCGTTGTAACTTCACTCACTCACCAGACAAACTGTTGTACGTCTACTTTGCAAATACCGGTACAATAATAATAATAATAAAGTTGGAAGGGACCTTGGAGGTCATCAAGTCCAACCCCCTGCTCAGGCAGGAAACCCTACACCATTTCGGACAAATGGCTGTCCAGTCTCTTCTTTAAAACCTCCAGTTAATTTCATTTGCCACAGCCAGGAAATCAGTGAAATCTCCGTTATAGGCTCTCTTTCGAAGCTCTGTGTTGGACCGTCACAATTCTGTCAAGTACACAATTTGGGGAGGGTATTTTGCCCCACTGATAAAAGGACATCTGCGCATGTGCCATGCGCCAGTGCGAATCTGGTTCAGTGTGGCACATATTTCAATGGCCTGTGAAAAGATGCATCTGTCTTAGCAGCATAAAATTAGCGCAAGAGGGCATAAAAGCCACTTCGCCACCTAAGTACCATCACACACGGACATTTAAGTGTTAAAATTGTTTTCAGTTTTATGGAGGTTTGCTCGATAGCCATTCCATCTGCCAACTTCATTCATTTTAGCCATTTTCAAGCAACTGAATAGTGCTGCGGTCTCAGGAAAACAAGATCCTACCTATTCTACATTCATTCCAAATCCCAAAAAAATATTTAATTGTGAATGCTTACGTTTATTCCCTTGAAAATGGCACTGATGCTAATGGGAATGGCCTAAATGTTTATTTATTGCTAATAAACCATATGTTTATCTAGAACTGAAATGGATCTTGCAAAATCTTCCAGGCTTTTTTCTTTCTTTCTTTTAGACTAGCGCACTCAAAAATGCTGCCTTAAACTGTTGAATTGTTTAAACGTTGCACTAATGCGAAATCTGATAGCTCTTTTAAATAATCTGCTTCAGCATTCTATCACTTAAAAAAAAAATTCTGTCTGTTCTATTCCTATTTCCAGTAGGGATACTCCAAGGAGCATATGGGTAGTATCTTTTTGTTAATGCTCAATTGATGCTTCCTAAGTTTCTGTTTTAAAATTTTAACCTCGCAGAATGCCGAGCGAGATGCTTTTCATATTTGTTTTTTTTTCACTTGGTGAAATGTCACTTTGATTAATCAGGAGAATGATTAATTACCAACTTTTAAGGGTTTGGTTTTGTTTTTTCCCCCTAGAGGCTGTCCAATTCACCTAGAAGGAATAGCGAAAAGGGGACAGCTGGAGATCAGAATGATTTAGTAGCATACTCGTTATACTAGAGCTTGGGAATTTTAAAAAGAAAAACTATTTAGGCCGAAGAGACGTGGATCTGTCAGAGCCATTTTGCCTTTCAAGTTGCTTTTCTGGACACTGAAGGTTTTATAACAGGTTTTGTGGTAATACTTAACTAACGTTGATATACAGCAGTGATGGTGAACCTTTTAGAGACCGAGTGCCCAAACTGCAACCCAAAACCCACTTATGCATCGTCGAGTGCCGGGTGGGTATGGCCCGTTGGCTGGGTGTGACCCATTGGGTGGGCGCAGCCCATTGAGTGGGCGTGGCTGAGGTGGTAACAGCAGACTGGGTGGGACTAAAAAGTTCAATCAATCAATTCCAACTTTGCAAGATATTTTTTTTCCCGCGAGAAGTTGAAATTGACTGATTGATTGAACCTTTTTTTTTTTTTTTGCACATGGTGGTGGAGGCCTAAAGCGAAAAGGTTTTATAAAACCCAGCTGAAGGCCTAGGACTGGGGCGACGGCGCGCGTGCCCACAGAGAGGGCTCCGAGTGCCGCCTCTGGCACCCGTGCTGTAGGTTCACCACCACTGATATACAGTATTTCAGCTTCCTTTTCATTAAATTCTACAGCGGTCTTTTTGGTTCGTCGGTGCGTCTTTCAAAGAATAACATTAAAAACTTCCTATAATTCGTGGATGTGTCCATAAGGGATCTAACTCTTATCTTCATTCATGATTATGATGATGATGATGATGATGGTGAGATCTGGGTTGACGTTTGCGTTTTTCCCCCTCTGATGATTTATTTTTCTTTCTTTTTTTCCCCACCCTTGTATCACATTTGGACTTGTTCCTCACAGCTCTGTTGCCTTCTTTGCTCTTAACTGCCACCTTTTAGATGTCTTTCCACTTGAAATGAAAAAGCTACCCTGAACAAGAGCACAGAGGCTATTAGCACTGATTTATGAGGGGGCATATCCAAGGCTTAAGTGGACTTTGTCACCTGCTGTTTCAAATATCTAAAAAAAAAAAAAAAGGAGGAATCGAACGCAACTTTGCTTACATCTTTGGAGCCTTTAGTTGTGGTCTAACCTGAACTAGATATTCAGGATTAATCTTCTCATCTTATTGGTTGGAATCTATGAGTTCTTCCTTTCTTTGTATGTCACCAAGCCCTGGAAAGATTTATGAGAAGGGTTTTTTTTCCCCAGCAGAAAATTGGAAATTCAGGGGAATATGGAGCAATTCTTTATTCTGTTGTTCTAAAATATTATAGGACCCATTTTTTTTCCAATTTTCCCATTTGTCAGAGATGTGGGGTAAAAAAGAGAAGTCTACAAATGGTCAACCCATCATTGTACTCCACATACATCTCTCTTTCTCTTTCTTTCTCTCTCTCTCTATTTCTCTTTCTCTTTCTCTCTCTCTCTATATATGTATATGTGTGTATATGTGTATGTGTACATATATATATATACATACATATATATACATACATATATATGTATATACACACACACACACAAATTGGGTCGTAGCAGTGTTTCTAAAACAGCATCAAAGAGGATCACGTCATGTAACATCTAAGCACAATTTCCCCAATTAATTGACCATTTCTGTCTTTCTGGAAATAAAAAAAAAGAATTGCACAAACGAGGTGCCTATGTAAAATTTGCATTACATAGCCATGTGACCTCTGCAAATAGCGAAAAGACTGCACGACCAGTTAATTCATCCTGTCAGAATTCACCATGCCAATGTAACTTAATTCAGTGTAGACGTTCCTGATTTTGTACGATTGAAGGGGAAAAAAAATATCAAAATACAACAGTGAAAAAATTTATATAATGCATCATTTGAACGTGGAATGGAATACGAATGTAATTCTCAAGTTTCGGGAACGTGTAGGAATCACAATATTCACACAGTGATCATAAAATATCTCCTTTTCCATAGGTTGCTGAAGATTCCCAACTTTCAGCCTCCTTTTACATCTTTACAAGTTTCCATACTCATTTTACCCAACTCCAGTTATCCTGATCTCAAATGTTACCCATATTGGATCTGTGTTATGGGAAAAAAAACAACAACTAACTTGTAACCTGTCTCTGTGCTTCCTCTATTCTTCTTTTTTTTGTAAACAAAGATAATTTTGTATAGATAAAAGGATATCATTACGGCCATGTGCATTTCTAAATCATGTTGTTTACTCGCAGGAGGAGGAAGAAATGACTTACGAGCAAACCTTAGAATTTCGCAGAGGGGGTGACGGTCAACCCAGGCGCTCAACACGACCCACTCAACAGTTTTATCAACCACCAAGAGCTAGAAACTGATCAAAGGTAAATGATTACTTCCTCCAATAAAAAAAATAGCTCTATTCCTCTGGAATTCCCTTGATATCCCCAATTGCTCTGAAAAAGGCATATGCATATCCCTTTTGATACCTGTACAGGTATAGTATAGGGGGTACCTTGCTCAAAAGTAGTAACTGTCAGAGGGATCTTGGAGTCCTAGTGGACAATCACTTAAATATGAGCCAGCAGTGTGCTGCAGGTGCCAAAAAAGCCAACACAGTGCTGGGCTGCATTAACAAAGGGATAGAATCAAGATCAGGTGAAGTGTTAATACCACTTTACAATGCCTTGGTAAAGCCACACTTGGAATACTGCATCCAGTTTTGGTCACCACGATGTAAAAAAGATGTTGAGGCTCTAGAAAGAATACAGAGTAGAGCAACAAAGATGATTAGGGGACTGGAGGCTAAAGCATATAAGGAACGGTTGCTGGAATTGGGTATGTCTAGTTTAATGAAGAGAAGGACGAGGGGGGACATGATAGCAGTGTTCCAGTATCTCAGGGACTGCCACAAAGAAGAGGGAGTCAAGCTATTCTCCAAGGCGCCTGAAGGCAGGACAAGAAGCAACGGATGGAAACTAATCAAGGAGAGAAGCAACTTAGAACTAAGGAGAAACTCCCTGACAGTTAGAACAATTAACCAGTGGAACAACCTGCCTCCAGAAGCAGTGAATGCTCCACCACTGGAAGTTTTTAAGAAGAGACTGGACAGCCATTTTTCCTAAATGGTATAGGGTTTCCTGCCTGAGCAGGGGGTTCGACTAGAACTCCAAGGTCCCTTCCAACTTTATTATTATTATTAGTAGTAGTAGTATTAGTATTACCTTTGATATCTTTGATATCTACCGTGTTTCCCTGAAAGTAAGGCCTACCCTGAATATAAGCCCTAGCTTGATTTGGGGGGGGGGGGCATGGGTCTAATATAAGCTCTAGTTTTGGGGCGAGGCGCATGCCTAAAAATCAAGCTAGGGTGGAGGTGGGGGGATGGAGATGCCCCATGCGCCCCACACCCGCTTATCGTTGCAGCCAGGCCTCCCATGAATTGACACCTACCTTGTCTCGCTGGCCCACTTCTTCGCCCCCGGACTCCATTTTGCTGTCAGAGGTCTTCAGGAAATGCCTCTGTAGCTGAGAATGGAGCTCCAGATTGATGCACACGGCGCCCTCCCCCCAGCCTCCATTTCGCTATCAGAGGCCTTCCAGAAAGGCCTCTGCAGCCAAGAACCGAGCTACGGAATCCATAGCTAAGTTCTTGGCTATACAGGCCTTTCCGGAAGGCCTCTGATGGCAAAATGGAGGCCGGGGGCAACGCACGCAAGGTGAGACCGTGGAAAAGACACTCCCCGAAAATAAGACTGGTGCCTCTTTTGGAGGCAAAAAAAAAATAAAAATAAAAATAAGACCAAGTCTGATTTTCAGGGAAAGACGCTATGTCCGGCCTGGTTCATAATTGGGTGATAAATGCAATGCAAATGCCAGCAAAAAATGAAGGTGATGATTAATGAAGAGTTTGTTAGGCATGAAGAATCAGGATCACAAGCTAAGTTCCCATTAAGCTGATTTATTGTTCGTGCCTATACACAAGATTCTAGTCCACTAGCGGTCAGTACTAAGCTGGCACTAGATAAGAGTCAACAGGATTCCAGAAGAGTTGTACTTAGATCATTTATGGGAACATAAGGATTCCAGGCTGATTCTTCTCTTGACTCTGCCCCCAGGCTCTGCCTGCTCTTCTCCAACAGAGCTGTAACGTACGTCATTTTAGTGCATACAACTTGGAAATTCTTAGGACACATATTAAAGTGGTGTGTAAACATTCTATGTCTTGTTCAGTCTCTTTTTTTCCAAGTGTTCTCTATTTGATAATAACACGTGCAAATTATCCTGATGAACAGAAAGAGTAAAAGTGAAGAAATTATCCCAATGTTCTCCTTTTTTTCTGCTTCAGATATTCATTGTGGCGAGATCGTTCTCCATTTCTTCACGCCCGAAGGAGAATGTTTTCGAAAGACCCAGACGGGGAGTATAAAAATCTACCCACCACAGACTTTTTTTTAAGTTAATGCTGTGACGCTAAACTTTTTACATATGAAAAAAACAACAACAACTTGTTAATAGTGACATCAATAAAAGCCACCATGCTCAACACTGTCTCTGCTTTGTGTTTTCCTGATTGCATGAACTATTATTAAGAGGTCCTGATCTCTCTCTCTCTCATATCAAAGAATTGATGGACTCTATTAAAAAGTCAGACTTGAAAAATTGAGAACTGAGAAGGACCTGGGTTTTTGCAGCAGTATAACAGATGCTGACACATTTATTAGTGCTGTCCCAGTTATGGTACTGCCAAATCACCTAAGGCTCTATTAGCATGCATTATATTTACTATACAGGATTCCTGCCCCAGAGATCTTACAGCCCCAAATCTAACCCAATGGAAAAAGAGAAATAGAAGGAAAATAATATATGTTTTAAATAACAACAACAACAATAATAGAATTCAATAAAAATAAAAATAGAATTCAAACAGACAAGCACCTGCCACATAACACCCCGGACTTAACGATTGTCGCTAAGAAAGAAAAAAAAATCTGGATAGTGGACGCGACAGCGCCTGGAGACAGCAGAATAGACGAGAAAGAACTGGATAAGGTAACAAAATACAAAGACCTACAAATACAAATAGAACGACTATGGCAAAGGCTAGCAAGGGTAGTACCAATAGTAATAGGCACCTCGGGTGCAATCCCAAAACAACTGGAGCACCACTTGAACACCATTGGAATTGACAAGTTCTCCATTAGTCAATTGCAAAAGGCGGCCTTACTAGGAACTGCTTTCATCCTGCGAAGATATCTGTAATACCATCAAACATCCACATCTGCCTATCCCAGGTTCTGTGTAAGGACTCGACAGGTAGACAAAAATGCCAAATCCAGTCTGAACATCTGACTGACTGTGTGATGATTAATAATAACAACAACAATAACAACAACAAAACCCATTTACTTACCCCCTCTTCTGCAAAATTTCCCATTGCCTACTTTCCCCCCCCCCGTTGCTTGATAGTGCCACATTGCAAAATACTTGCTCAATAGAACAGATCTATGAACTCAAGAAGATGGTGCTTTACTATTACATAACTTTATAACTCTTGCATTGCTCTGTTAACTTAATTTGGTTATTCCTTCCTTCCTTCCTTCCTTCCTTCCTTCCTTCCTTCCTTCCTTCCTTCCTTCCTTCCTTCCTTCCTTCCTTCCTTCCTTCCTTCCTTTGAGTTTTCCTCTTCCTTATTGCTCCCTTCCTATTTTTACTTCCTTCCTTCCTTTCCTCCTTCCTTCTCCCTTCCATTCCCCTCCCTTCCTCCCTTCCTTCCAGTTTTCCTCTTCCTTATTGCTCCCTATTTTTCCTTCCCTCCCTCCCTTCCTCCCTCCCTCTCTCCCTTCCTTCTTTCCCTCCCTCCCTCCCTTCCTCCCTTCCAGTTTTCCTATTCATTATTGCTCCCTTCCTATTTTTATTTCCTTTCCTCCTTCTCCCTTCTCTCCCTCCCTCCCTTCCTTCCTTCCAGTTTTCCTCTTCCTTATTGTTCCCTTCCTATTTTCCTTTCCTCCCTCTCTCTCTCTCTCTCTCTCTCTCTCTCTCTCTCTCTCAAAGGCAGGAATATGTAACTTTTGGGCTGCTGCACTGCAGCTCCCATCATCCCTCAGTAAGGATTGTAGCTAGGGGTGGTTGTTAAGCAACATCTGGAAGATTATATGTTNCCTCCCTCCCTCCCTCCCTCCCTTCCTTCCTTCCTTCCTTCTTTCCCTCCCTCCCTCCCTAATTTAAACTGTCCCAAATCTCAAATTTGCAATAAGTGAAAACTGAGGAGGAGGAGGAGAAGGAGAAGGAAGAGAAACTAGAGAATCACTGTAATATTTCTTCATTTTGTCTCTGCCTTACTCGCCATAAGAGTGCATTGATTTTTCTCAGCCTCGGAGTGGTTACATAATGCGAAGGGCAGTGGCATAATGAAAAATAATGGTCTTTGACATCCCAATTAGTAAGATGAATGCCAACGGCTTTCCAGGGACATGCAGTGAAATGAATAAGAAGTCTGTTTTCATATTGCATTGTTTACCTCAAAGACATTCTGGGTGGTGAATGAATTTTTTTTAAAAAAAAAAATCACAGTAATTTTACTTATAAGTACCTGCTCTGCAAAGGTGAGCATTCATTACATTAGAAACATATATAAGACGTGAATATCACTTCCAAAGCAGAATAAATACTCTCTATCATTTATTATTTTCAGGAGAGGCTGAAATGCACCTGGAAAAGAGAGCCAGGTGACAAAATTTGCTGGAGCCAGTTATGAAACAATCCACCCTCTTTCTAAGTTTCTCCTCTGCTAGCTCTAAAATAGCTCAACTCTCTCTTACAGTAGTCCTTGAATTAAAACCGTAATGGAGCCTGCCCGTTAGGGTCACGAGTCTCGGTATTTGTAAAGCAGGCTTGTGACTGACTTGATTTTCTGACTTTTCCCCCCACAGTGGCTGTTAAGTCAATACCACAATTGCAAAGTGAATGCCACAGTCATTTTAACACCAGAACCGTGAATCGAACCAATGGTTGGAAAGACCTGGTTTTGCCATAACCCAAAATAAATGCCAGTTTTCGGTGAAGCCGTCATGAAAAGTGGTCACATGAGTGTGGGACACTGCCAATGACTAGAATTCACATGCTCCTGGCTTAACCACTGGACCACCAGCTAAAAATCTTACAATAATTATGATATATTTAAGTTATGCGATTGATTTTTTGGGGATTTCTGGATGTTTCTGCTTCTTTAGAAATGCCCCAGTAAAGGTGTTTGATTTTAAGAATAAGTTTTTTTTCCCCTGCTGTGTAATTACAAACAAAAACATAGTGGTAGCTGAAAAACTTCCTAGCTCTTTGCCTTTACACTAGAGTTTCCGCAACAAAATACTATTCATTGTCACAAAAAGAGGCTCAAGGGTAAAGTTTGAGTCAGGGATGACAACGAAGAGTTTTTGTCAGCAAATAGTCTCCACCTGAGCTTGCCATTTTTCCAGACAGTAGACTTTCATTGATTCTTTACAGTAGAAAACAAGGGCACGCTTGTCTCTGAATTATAACTTTCTTATGTGATTCTTTTCCGAACACTGACTCTATCATGGTAGAGGAGATGTCCAGTTCTAATAAGGCTAAAGGTGGAGTCTTAATTCACTTCCACACAAAGAATATCGGCCTAAGCAGGGCTTGTACAGAAGAAGTAGCAAAAATTGTCACATTCATATATAGCACAGCGTGACACCAGTCAGAAAGCCAATTTTAGCAGGCCAGTCAACTGTATCAATTCTGTCCTCAGAAGTCTAAAATTCAGCATTTCCTTTCCCACAGAAACACTGGCAGGGGTGTAATTGTCTTGCAAAGGTGGCTGATTATGCTTGCACGTTTCAGCTTGTAATTACCACAAAGGCAATAAAAATGCAAGTCGGAAGACCGGCCTTGGTTACGGAGAGAGCAGGCCAGGATTACCAGTCCATTTTTCCCATGACCCACAAAATTGAGAAGTGGAAGTTGCTGCCAGCTCAGTTTCCGAACAGTCAAACTCATAAAGTCTACTTTGGAAAGACAAGGTGCACAACTTTGTTTTTGAGGAGGTGAGGTTTAGCAAGGCTACTGTGTTTTCTGTGCTGGATCTTAATAACAAACACTTGGTGAGTTGAAACAAGTTCTAATAGTGTCTATGGAGATTCTCAGTCATCCAGGTCATAGTTATCCCAAAGATGCTTTTTCAGGAGGCAACTGGACTTCCTTCTTTTTCTTTGAAGACGTTTCGCTTCTCATCCCAGAAGCTTCTTCAGCTCTGACTGGATGGTGGGGAATGGAAGGATTTATACTCCTTGCAGACAGCTGGTCATTTCCCTTCTTTTAGAGAGTCATTGAGGCCACTTGGAGGTTTATCTGTGTCTTCAGGGTCACCTGAGTGATGCAACAGAGGGGCAGGGATAGGACATCATTTGTCTCCAGTCTACAACACAGTCCTTTCAGCAGTTCCAAGAAGGCTAGACACTCCTCTCCTCTCTTCTCCTCTCCTCTTCCCCACCACCCAGTCAGAGATGAAGAAGCTTCTTGTATGAGAAGCGACATGTCTTCAGAGAAAAACAAGAAAGTCCAGTTGCCTTGTGAAAAAGCATCTTTGGGATAAGTTCTAATAGTATCAGAGAGCTTGGGGTAGTCATTAACGATCTTGGCTAGAAACTGGGAGATGATGAATTCTAGTCCCACCTTAGGTGCAAAACCTGGTGGGATACCTTGGACCAGTCCCTCACTCTTAGTCCTTGGAAGGAAGCAATGACAGGCCACTTTTAAAAGAAAAAAAAACATGCCCAGAAAATGTCAGGGATTTGTTCAGACAGTCACCAGGAGTCAACACAAAGTACATTAAGGTGCAAAGATATATTAACCCCTTGTTCTATTCTACATTAGCTTAGAGCAGGGGTCTTCAAACTTGACCTTTTATGACTCATGGACTTCAACTCCCAGAATCCCTCAGCCAGCGTGCCTGGCTGAGGAATTCTGGGAGTTGAAGTCCACAAGTCATAAAATGGCCAGGTTTGAAGACCCCTGGCTTAGAGAAAGTGGGGAAAAAAAGCATTTTATGGTTTGTTCAGTGGCTCTCTAGATGGCTGTATCTTTGCTGAGGACCATATGAGAATCAGAATCAGAATAGAGCTGGAAGGGACCTTGGAGGTCTTCTAGCCCAACCCCCTGCTCAAGCAGGAGACCCTATACCATTTCAGACAAGATGTTGTCCAGTATTTTCTTAAAAACTTCCAATGATGAAGCACCTACAACTTCTGAAGGCAAGCTGTTCCACTGGTTAATTGTTCTCACTGTTAGGAAGTTTCTCTTTAATTCAGGGTTGCTTCTCTCCTTGATTAGTTTCCATCCATTGTTTCTTGTCTTGCCTCTGGTGCTTTGGAAAATAAGTTGACCCCCTCTTTTTTGTGGCAACCCCTCAAATACTGGAATACAGTTAAAAATGTCATTTAAATATTGCATGATCATTTTGGATATACAAATATTATTTCTAGAAATATATCAAGAGCCAAATGTTGCAATTCTGTCGAAAA